CTGGAGGGCCTCGGCACACATGTGGGTGGTTCACTACAAGCACCCAAGTCACGGCCTGGGCGTCTGTCAGGTGACAGGAGGGAAGCCTCTGGTCATTCTGCTTTTGTTCTCACTAGTCCTAGGGAGCAACAGCTAACAGAAACAATACTCCAAGGGCCTCAATATTTACTATGTAATTAGACTCAGTATTATGATCATTAGTACTGCCTCCTTTATCAAGGCTCTCAGGGTTAAGAGAGGTTATTAGGAACCAAATTGAAACAAAAGTCAACTATGCTTAAGGGAAGGCCTGTCCCCACCCTGCCCAGCACTGTGTAACCCCCACCTCTCCTTGCTGCAGGAAATCAATCAAGAGCTGGATTCTTATCTGGGTCAAATCAGGTGTCCATTCTCGCATGCACACCAGCACGTGCACGTGGGTACACAAACCCAGTTCTGGGCCTCGCTCTAACGACAACCATTATTTATACATATATAACCTTTTTTAATTCTCCTGAAATCTATAAACTGCCATCCACTTATTACAGATCAGGAAATTGAGACTTTTTAAGTAATTTGCCCAAGATAACAGAAGTAGTGACAGAGAGGGGTCCTGAATTTGTCTGCCTGATGCCAAAGATCTTAAGTAATTTTCCTGAGGCAGTGAAAAATGTGTCCAAAGTGAATTGGACACCTTGTTTTCCCTTGGGTACCAGGAGGTACCCGGAGAATTTGCATTTACAGAGGAGCTATTCAGCAGGTTTTCCCATGCATCTCCATCCACACCACTCAATGCTTGACTTTCATTCAGGAATTCTTAGACCTGGGCCTCCCCTGAAAGCTGAGCTCACAGGGTTTTCGTGCTCCCAGGCACTGATGTCACCACGAGGCCAGGGCCAAGAGACTACCACTGCAGCCTTCTTCAGTTGCCAGAGACAATGCCCAGGTGCAATCACGTGACCTCCAGCCAGCCTCCATATGGCTCTGAAGTATTAGGTGACACACCTCTTATCTGAGCTCCAGCAACCCAGTTAGCATATTGCTCTCTGCCATTTTCTCAGGTCCTGCCATCTCGGAGAGAATTTATCAAAATAGGTGAACAGCACAGAGTGGAAGCTACTAGCATGGGAGATAAAGCAGAATAGCCTCATCACTTACCTGCTAGTCAGCCTGACATTTCTCCATTTGGCCAAAGTGAAAACAGGCTTAGCTTAAAGTGTAGTGTCAGATGCGGGCTTAGGACATGGGTCCCAGAGTTGTTTTGCCCTAGATCTCATTGGCAGAGTGCTAAGAATTATGCACTAATCTAGGAGACTAAGAATCAGGAGAAAGAGACTGAAAAAAAAAAAATCTTATGAGGCGCCTCGAATCCTTTCTGGATTTACGGTGTATACGTAAAAGAGTAACACTTTTTAAGAAGCAGACGCTGTGCTAAACACATCATCTCATTTAATCCTCACAACCATCTCTTAAGGGAGATACTTCTCTTCCCATTTTATATATGAGGAAACCAAGGTGATGAGTGACTTGCCCAACATCACACGGCTAGTCTGAGAAAGACCTGGCATTCGAACTCAGGCTGACTATCTAGGCTGTTGACACTAAGATGGGAATTCTTTTTTTTCTTTTAAATTGAGGGAATTTTTACACAGAGTAAAATGCATATATCTTAAGTTACAGCTGGCTGCATTGTGAAAAACGAAACATACTCCCGCCAATACACAGAACACTTCTACTACCCAGAAGTTCCCGTGTCCCTTTTCCAGTCACTCTCCACCCACTTCCAGGGGCAAATCATGTTCTCATTTCTATCACCTGGAGCAGGGTTATTCTGATCACCCAATCAGTAAACTGTGTGATACTGGTGCCACTCTCCTCGATTTCCTCATTCTGGAAAGCCACCCAATCAGCTTATCCTTGTCCCTTCTCTGAGCCTCATTCTGGCCAGAAGAACCCAGAAACACTGCCTGAAGCCTTAAGAGCTGCAAACTTATCAGTTCCCACTTCCAGAATGACTACCTTGGCACATCACAGAGGAGAAAAGAACATTTGAGACTGTCAAGGGGTAGGGAGAAGCCCTTCAAACTGAATTTAGCCACCGGCCAAGTGTGAACAAGTGATGAGTTGGCATTTCTCAAAGGAATGTCCAACAGGCTTTCCTGATTTACAAGCAAGTGGTAAACGCTTCAGGAATTCCAAAGGTCAGGGAAGAAAGAGAAACAGGCCCAGGGCTTTTGTTCTCCCTCCGCCTGGGTGTAAAAGCTGAATGAAAAGGCTGGGGATACTGCTGCCCTTTTTTTTTTTTTAATTAAACAGTCTTGGGCTTGGGTAACAACGGGTTGAAGTTTCACTGGTTGCTGCATCAATGGAACCCAGTAATTCTCCGGGTCTAACAGAATGGGGGCGGGGGGTTATTGCCAGAATTTGCCTATGCCATGAGTCTGCCCTAGGAAAACTCATCGATGTTCCCGGAGAAGTGCTGCCAAAGCTGACAACGGATTTGTCTTTCTAGACTCTAATCAAACTCAGGATTGGTAAAATTGGTAGTGCCTTAAAAAAAAAACAAAAAACCATTAACACTGCAGTGTCTTCCCACACCATGACACCAAATGACTTATTAAAACAAAAGGAGCAATGTTCTTTGGAAATTTTTTAAAACGAACCTTTTTAGGTAAATCTATTTAAACCACTTTCTAAAAATATTTGCCAAAGCTAACTGCTCCTCCTTCCTGGGCCACAAACGAAACCGATTCTCATTAGCTAAAGGGTTTATGCTAAAGTATAATAACTTGCTTAGTTGCAGGTGAGCAACAGGGGATGATCCATATATTAGGATGTTTTATTTTGTTTCAAGTGCCTGTGAATCATACTGACACGCAGTTCCAATACGTCCCCTGCAGTTTCTGAGTTAAAAACAGAAGGCGCGAGTAGGAGCCAACACCTACATGTGGCAGGCTGTCAATCAGACAGGCTCTGCAGAATTCAGCAACAGGAAAGGATGTGGTCACATACATGCTAGCAAGTGTAACTGCCACCATATTGTTTAAGCTGCATGCTCCAAAACAAACAGTACGACAGATTCTGATTCCCTGTGCCTCTCCTAACAGTGACTTTAAATCCAGTTCATGAGAAGCGACTTAACCAATTGCACTTGCTATGAGGCAACAGAAAACGGAAGATGAACAGGGAGCTCAGAAACACAGACATCCTAACCTAGAGTGAAACTTCATAGTCACTCATGGATGCCCCCAACTCCCCTGACACTCCCCTTAACTAGACACTGTTCTTACAGTTCCTTGACCCTCAAAGAGGGGTTTTGTTTTTTTTTAATTTCATTGCTTAAATCACAGGTAAGTACCTGAGTTAATTGCACTACCAACACCAGGTGGGTGACAGTCATTCAATTCCAAATTTCATCAAACAAGCTGCACACCTGCTGTCCCGAGGTTCTTCAAATCCCAACAAATGGCGGCGAAAATGCACTTGATACTAAGATAACAGTGGCCCACGTGCGAAGTGGCTCCCGTTGCAACCTCGCGTTCCATTTCTACATACTTAAACTTTCTGAAGCATCGTTTTTGCCCGTCCTCTGTGAAAATAACTTACATTTGTAGCATGATTTGGTTCAAAAAGATGCCATCCACTAAATCCATGTACAAAGTCAGGTTGTCCTGGTTACCGCTTCCGAATGGGCCCAGAGTTTTCACCTGCGGGGAAGGGCACGCGGAAAGAAAGGCAGGAAGTCACCCCCACGTGCACAGTCTAAAGTCGTCCAGGGCAAAGGCGGACAGAGCCCGTGTGGTCAGAAGGGGTGTCACCCAAAGCCCACCCACACTTCAGCAGGCACCAAGCCTACCCTTCCCCCAGGGCCTCTCTCCCCTCCCCGCGACAGGCAACAAACAGGAGACAGCAGGAGGAAAACTTCCTCGCCACTTTTCTCCAGCGTCCCAGAGCGGAAAAAGAAAATATAAAGACTTTTCAATAAATTTCCCACGTCTCAAATCCATTTGAAATCACCGCGCCCACCCCAGCCTGTACACGTTCCCACTCGGAACCCCCCTATCCCCGCCGTCACCGCCACCCACACGCTGGTCTCAGGGGTTCAAAAACTATACGCGGATATTTTTGGAGAGTGGGTCCCTTTCTCGAGAGTCAAGCCACAGGGGCCGGGAGAACCACTCGGACGCTGTCCGCTTCTGGGGCGCCGGCTCCGCGCCCCGGCGGGAACAGGTGTACCCGCTCTGCCGCTGGCCGGGCCGAGAGCGCCGCGGGGTCCTACATCGGGCGCGCTGGCTGAGTTGAAAATGTCTCCGGACCCCGGGGCGCGGGCCCCGGCCAGGTACACTTGCAGAGTCCCCCGCGTCCCGGGGCTACCCGGGGCCCCGAGCGAGTCGGGTCTGTGGCTACCCGAGCGGGCGGGAGAGGAGCCGGTGCACCAACAATGGGGTGGGGAGCCGGGCGCACTCACCCAGGTCACCAGCGGGCTCTGCAGAAAGAGCTCCATGAGCTCCGAGACAGTCAGGTCCATGCTGAGGCTGCGCCCGCCAGCT